GGTCATGGGTTAGACTCCCCTCCTCATTGCAACTCCCCGAATGGCAACGTTAGAAAATCGACCAATGATTGCTGCTAAAAATGTCACATGATGTGACTCAGCATATAGCGCTTTTAAAAACGGAAACAATAACCATAGTGAGCATTATCAGGTTGCTCAATTTAGATTCATGCCCTAAAAACATGATAATATTTACTTTGAACTCAATTAGGAATTAATTAGGCTGGCCTTCTCTATGACTATAAATAAGTCAAAAGGTCAGACTTTTGAGAAAATCAGTTTAGTATTGACTAAGCAAGTTTTTAGTCATGGACAACTTTGTGTTGGCCTGTGTAGAGTTAAGTCATTTGACAGTCTTTCAGTAATTGCTCCAAGATGCCAAATCGATAATTGTGTTTTCAAAGAAATTCTAAATGCTTAGTGTTAATTTCTTAGAGCTTTGCAGAAAGAAATGTTTTTTAGAAAAAATTTAATTGAAACTTCTATGGCAGTAGGCAAGGGGAACTGCCAAAATCAAAACTCCCCGATTAGAAATGCAGCATGGCGACCTCCACGTGGTGTTTCTCGGGTAATGCTAACACCCATGCATTTTAATTTATTGTATGTAAAGCATCCTTATTTTGTTCTAAAATGTTATGTACTTAATCTCAAATGTTAATTAATATAGAAATTGGTTTTTAATAATGCTGATCACCAAAAAATATTTCATTTGGCGATAAAACAAATTTTTGTGTTCTTGAAAATGAAAGACTTTTTGAGGGTTATTATCTCACAAGGAAAAGTTAGGGTTTGAAGTTTATATTTTTAAATAATAAAATTTTTTTCTAAAACTTTCAGAATTTCTAGCATTAACTAATTTATTATACACATTTAGTTGAATTTAGGTGAGTAATTGCAGCATTCGATAATTTATTTTGCTAATATGTTTCTCATTTAGCCAATGTTTTGATTTTTTCACCATGTACAATCTAAATAGCTAATATACTTTTTTAAAGGCCAATAACAACATTGATGGAATTCTTCTACAATAGTACAATACTGTGTCCTTGATTATACAATACCATGTCTTTGATGATAATATACTATGTCTTTGTGCTAGAACATAGTGTTCATTAGCGATCGAGCGCAGCGAGCTATGGTTCACGAGGTGAACCACATAGGATTGCGTAGCAATTCTCGGGGGTTGGCGAGCGTTAGCGAGCAGGGGGCGGAGCCTCCTAGTACAACATAATGTTGCTCAAACTTATTGCAACTTTAGTGTGGCGCCAACATGATAGTTTAATTTAAATGTAACCTTAATAATGCATTACATTGATCAATGTTAACGTTCAAATTATACTGCATCGTGAAATCAAGTTTAAGAAGGATTAAACTATGTAATATTACAATTTACCCGTTAGATAATGTTGTGGCGTAACTACCACTACGAATATTAAAAACATCGATTCACTGGTATATAAGACATGCTAACTTGATTCAATCACGAAGTACCTTTTGATAGATGACGGTTGGCATGGTCGATAACTCCGTCCCCCACAATGTCATACTAAAATTACACGTATCAATACTATTAGAGATTTTGTTGCGTGCTGAGCCATAATGCTGCTCAAATTTACTACCTTCGTAATATGGTGCCAAGTTGCATCATATCATTGAAATTCTTAATGATTTCCCAATGATAAGTTGCTTAGGGTCATGATACAGTGGAAGTTAACTGCAACTTGAATAATGAATTAAATTGATGCATTAATTGATTTATTGTTTTCGTTCCAGTTATACTAGGAGGCTTCACCCCCTGCTCGCTCGCGCTCGCCAACCCCCGGAACTGCTTTCGCAGTTCATTTCGGATTGCTTCGCAATCCGATGCTCGCTTTGCTCGCTCATTGGATACGTTCTTCACGTCTAGCTTTTGTATACTTTTTTGAACACTGAAGTTCCGAAAACTTTTCACTGTAGAAAATTCTAAACCTGCACATTTCAATATTAGTTTGAAATTGCAAACAGTTCACGTATTTTTCCTAATCACACTATTCTAAGTTTCAGTTGTTGCGAAAAGTAACTGTTGTAAGTTTTGTTTTGAAGTCCATCCAACCAGAGGGCTAAAACCATGTGTTGTAAAACAATATGAAATAGTACTGAAAGCCGGATGTAAAGCATCGGCTTCGATGAAGATTATTTTGTGAGAATTGTTTTGATAATTCGTGAGATTTCACCCGATTAGGCATATGATGCTCACTACGTGCTCTTGCGCGCTGAAGCCCATCAATTAAAAATGAAAACTGTTTCCAACGCGTGAAAAGAAATATCATCGGTTTTATTGATACATACGTATTAGCGTTTTATATAATAAGATAGACTAGGAGGCTTCGCCCCCTGCTCGCTGGTGCTCGCCAATCCCCGGAACTGCTTTCGCAGTTCATTTCAGATTGTTTCGCAATCCGATGCTCGCTTTACTCGCTCATTGGATACGTTCTTCACGTCTTGCTTTTGTATACTCTTTTGAACACTGAAGTTCCGAAAACTTTTCACTGTAGAAAATTCTAAACCTGTGCATTTCAATATTAATTTGAAATTGCAAACAGTTCACATATTTTTCTTAATCACACTATTCTAAATTTCAGTTGTTGAGAAAAGTAACTGTTGTAAGTTTTGTTTTAAAGTCTTTCCCACCAGAGGGCTAAAGCCATGTGTTGTAAAACAATATGAAATAGTAGTCTGCCACTGAACGCCGGATGTAAAGATAATTTTGTATTTTTAATTCTCTGAATAGCGCCACCCTAATATGGAATTTGTAAAATAAATGTATATATTTTTGATTGATTTGAGATCATTTTGCGTTTTCATCAGTGTTCAGAAGCAGAACAACTATAAGTTTTTTATTTTATCACAAAAATATGAAATGTATAAAAAACAAAGAGTAAGAAAATGAGTATAGTCATAGAAAAAGTTAAAATTATAATACAGTATTTATCAGTTAAAATAAAACTGTTAAATTAAGTTATAAATTAAGTAGTGTTTAAGTTATTGTTTCCATTGTTAAATTAAGTCCTCAAATTTAGCATGAAGTTGTTAAATGTAATGAAAGAAGGTCATAGCAAAAATGTAAGTAGAAGTAAATTTAGTACTGTAAAATTAAAACAATATTTTTAATCAATGAGCCAAGTTTTTCAAGAAGCAGTTGTAGAAGTAGCTGGATATAGGTTATTTATTTAAAACTTTTTATAGAATTTCTTTAAAAACACAATTGTTAATTTGGGCCTTTGGCGATACAACACTTATAAAATTGAAGGATTTCACCCTTGATAGTCCAACATATAATTGACCGCGGCTAAACACTGGTTTAGTTAAATCTAAACAAATTTTATCGAAAGTTTGTCCCTGGGTTTTGTTTATGATTCATGAAATTTAACTTAAAATAAATATGAAATATTAAAACTGCATTCAACTCATAACTAATAATATAACAAAACGTGGAATAGTAGAGCGCTCAATTCAAAATAAAATAGTAATAGCATAACACTTCTCATTTCTGCCAATGAAACGGAACTATTTCAGTACTCATAACCAACCAACCGTTTTTTCTCGGTGACAATCGGAGACAGATAGACATATGATGCTCACTACGTGCTCTTGCGCGCCGAAGCCTATCAATTAAAACGTATTAGCGTTTTATTTAACATGGATTAGCCATATGATGCTCACTACGTGCTCTTGCGCGCCGAATCCATTCAATTAAAAATGAAAACTGTTGCCAGCGCGAGAAAAGAAATATCATCGGTTTTATTGATACATACATACGTACGCATTAGCGTTTTATATAAAATAGATTATTGTATCACATGATCAAGTCTAAGAAAGATTAAACTGTTTATATTATAATTCAGATACCGGTTTCAGCAAATTTGCAACACATTGTCGTTCAAGTTACTAATGGTTCAACTTTGAATCCCTTTTTCTTAACTGTGTAATATAGTTGCATTAAACATATTCCTAATAAAAATCGGCATGCATCTGTGAATGTTATGAAATATGCAAAATAAATTAAATCTCTCTTTTTGCGGAAATTCTAAGATTAATGTAAGATGGAAATTGTAATAACATTAGATAAAAATTCAAGTTCTAACAATATTACATCATGCATATTTTTATTTCCATTTGTATGAGTAAAATAAATCAACATATAATAGTTGCATTAAACATATACCTAATAAACTTGACACGCACTTATTGTTGTTACTCAATAAAGATTCTTAATCGCTGCCTATACAGGATCTAATTTATCGTAATCTTAAGTAACTAAAACGTAATATTAACATATAAAACACGATGAAACATGTATGGTATGGTTTTCTTTGGTAACATTGAGATTAATATAAAAAGTTAAACTCTTCTATAAAAATTTAAGCTCAATTAATATTATATCGAGTCTATTATTTTTTCATTTTCAATAATATAATAGTTGCAATAAATTAGCTCTTTGGCAATTTTTCGATCAATATAAAAAGTTTAGCTCCAGTAATATTATTTATCAAAGTTAAAGCTCTTACAATTTTATAGCAAGCAATTTATTAATTCTATTTCTGAAATTAATACGATAAAACAAAGTACCGTCATGTGGGGCTACTTTGTGCAGCAATGGCTACTTTGTGCAAATTCGAATTGGGCACTTTTCAAGTGCTGCTATTCAGGATTATGTTTTTTTCACGTTAAAAATGTATGGAATTTGAAGATAGAAGTCTCCTCTATTACTACATACATTTTTTCGAATTTTAAAACAATCTGAGAGAGTGTTTTGTTTATCCAATGTCAACAACTTTCCGAGAACGTCGGACGTCGAAAAGTGTGCGTGGAAACTTTAGCTGTGAAACGCAAAAACTTAGATAAAACAATTGTCGTAAGTGCAAAATTTTTTACTCATGCATTAATAAACAATTATATCATGTTAGCGTTAAAAAAATTTGAAAATTAATAACAAATAAACGGAAAATGAAAAAAAATGCTCTGTGGGGCTACTTTGTGCAAAGTTTCACTCATTTTTTTTTTCGAGAGAAAAATTGTCAGACGTTATAAAAAAAAAATACCTGGAACGAGAAACTACGGTGATTACACTTTAGAAAAGCTGCAACAATGTTTGCAAGCAGTTGCTGGTGGTATGTCGATTGTAGAAGCTTCTCGGAAGTACAAAATCCACAGAAATACTATCTCTAATAAAATTCACAAGAAACACGTGAAACGTGCTGGTAAACTATTATTTTTGTTCTACAAAGATTTTTCTAATGAATCAATCAAACGATTTAACACATAAAAATATATTTTATAGGACATCAGGTGATTTTGACAGAAACTGAAGTGCAAGTTCTGGCATAATAATTCAAGCATGTTACGTTCAAATTTATCAATATTATAAATGTTAATGAATATGTAATAATTATTATTTTTTAAATTTCATCCATTTCAATGTTCAAAAATGTACAATGGTTTCCTATCGTTTAAACTCAAATGTTTTGAAATAAGCATTCTTTTTAAGAAAAAATTCTTTATAAAAAATGATTTTTTTAACGCAGAAAATNATGTTAATGAATATGTAATAATTATTATTTTTTAAATTTCATCCATTTCAATGTTCAAAAATGTACAATGGTTTCCTATCGTTTAAACTCAAATGTTTTGAAATAAGCATTCTTTTTAATAAAAAATTCTTTATTAAAAAATGGTTTTTTAAGGCTGAAAATTATTTTCAAACTAATATCTTTACATATCTTGATGATTTTGTTATTAAAAATGTCAATAATTAACTTTTTTAACAATTTTATATCAATATTTTACTAAAAACATGATTATTAAACTGAATTTCTATCGCTGCAGAAAGTAGTCCCACTTGGGGGATATTTTGTGCAAAGTATCTTTTGACTTATTATTTGTAAATATAACATGCAAATAATGCCAATATTGATCAAATTCACTCGTCTGAGTTCAGTTATGAATATAATATCCATAAATTTTACTAAAGTTTGAATTAACATAGTTTTTTTTACATGTCAAAGTTCAAAAACTGCGAAATCCTGCACAAAGTAGCCCCACATGACGGTATTTATTTTTTGCATATTCATTTTGCTTAAAAATATTTTCTGCAAATGTCAGCAGTTATTTCCTTAAACAAGCTCTAATAATGACAATGACAGAAATAAGTCTTAAAAAATGCATATTTCTCATAACTCAAGAAGTTAACGATATCAATCATTTTCCAAACAAGTAATTTTAATCCTGATAAATAAAATCTCCAAAACATTCATGCAAGTCATATTTTCATTTGTCGCAATTTCATCGATAAACTCAATTCGAATGAAGTACAATAACAATAACGCCACATTTACTGTAAACTAGAAATTATCTTGGGAAATTTTACGAGTGAATTTGAAGATTCCAACGCTGCAGGTGTTATAAAATTACGACGCAGCTATGTTGTAATTTGCTTTTCCTCGCATTTTAAAATGTATTGATGTAATATTTTGCTACATTTCATTTCAAAATGAATGCTCATTTTTTCAAGTACTGAACGCGAACAAAAACTCTTTTAAGCCTGTAATATTTTAGAACTTTTGAATCATATTTAAGTTGAAAGCGCTTAAAGGTGAGTGAAATTCTAATTATAGTACTGTGTGATTATAATTTATTATTTTATTCAACGTAAAAGTTTAAGCAAAATTTCAATTTCGTAGAGCAATTTTTTGAAAAAATCCTTTACCTAGATGGTAATTAATAATTTGTTTTCTAAGCGTTTTGAAGTGTATATAATAATTTTATTTACATGATTCAACTTAGCAAAAAAGTAAAAAAGAAATAAAAATCTTAAAAAGTAAAAAATAATGCAGCAACTTGTTAGGAGACAGATTGGGGATCCAAAAATTTTGTGACCATCGGCATGATGATGGAAGTGTGGTTAGCAATATCTACTGATTCACATGGATTTCAAACCGCGACCTGGGATAGAACCCGAGATCTTCACGATGGTAGCACGGCGTCGCAAGCAATGAGACATAATGATTAAAAAGTTTAATTTAGAATAATAAGAAAATAAAACTTTTTAATTTTTTTTTTGGTATACATCATTTCTCAACGCAATTCCAATTTGAAAACGTTTCACGCACTTAATTATTTTTTCAATTTCAAAAAAACATTTTTCTTAAAATACACACAAGGTAACACAAACACACAAAATTTTTAAGAAAAAAGATCATTTTTTTAAATAATTTAAAACAGAATAATTAAAAATAAAGGAGAATAATTTGAAAAAAAGGTGTTAATATAAATATAGGTGTTAATATTAGTAAAAGATGTTTATATCAATAAATTAAATAATTTATAAAAAAAGGTGTTATTTTTTCTCTTTTTATTTTTTATTTATTTTTATTTTTTTGAAAAATAATTGAGAAATCTTTTGTTGCGTGTTTAAAAAAAGGAAGTAAATTTTGATATGCGTTTGAAAATTCAGAAAAAGCTAAAAATTTGCCCTGAATTAAATAGACATAGCTTAAATTGCTTATTTCTATGGTGACTAGCGTCTTCAAAAAACTGAAAAACTGATAGCAAAATTCCTATAAGAACATGAGAGAACTGACTTTTTTACTCTCTGTTTAAAAAAAAATATCTCTGTAATAGAATCCCTGAGAGGGATATTTGTTCTAAAAATATTAATTAAGACAAAGCAGTTTTCAAATATTCATACAGAAATTTAACTACCAATTTTTTAGTTTCTTGAGGATGATGGTCAGTTTAATATTTCGAAAACAGGCATTGAATTTGATTCATTATTTTAAGCTACTGTTATGACCATTTAAAGTTAGCAATACTCATTTACCATTTAAAGTGACCATTTAAAGCATATTTTAAGTTGACATTTAAAGCATATTTAAAGTTGACATTTAAATTTTTTTTGATGAAAAAAAAATCTAAATATTTACTGAATAAATAAAATTCAATAATGGTCATCAAATGCATTGATTTGTTATCAAAATATCCTTTTTAATACAGGGAAGTTCTTATTTTAATTAATATATGACAATATTTATTCTTCGTGATCCTCGTCATCATCTCCCATCAAGATACCCGCAAAAAATTTCTTATGGATAAACTTATTCAAATATTGTGTACCAATACAGATTTATATCATTACCAATATATATTTTTATAAGATCTGTAATGAAATTCGTATGCAGTATATTCAATTAGGGCCGTATCTGCTTTCTTAATTTTCGAAAGGCTTCAACTAGGCTTTTCAAAAAGGGTGTCCGGATATAATAAAGTAGTTATACTCTACAAGATCAGTTTAAGTAAAAATGTTCGTAATTCAAAAACTAACTCACTGAAAGTATCGAGTATTTCAGACTTTTCATTATTTGATCCAATTTAAGTCCAAGTTAAGTAATCATTCGTGTGTTAGTCTAATAGGAACGCATACATAAAGCTTTATACATAGAATATATTTTGATTTGTTCCCTCATAACCACAGGTAAGTTTGGTTGTAAAGTACATTTTAGAAAGGTAAAAGATACCTCAGTTTCTTTAAAAAAGTAAGAGTATTTCAACATATCTTCGATTGTTACTTATAGAGAAAAGGAAACTCAATTATGTTAAATAATAGTTGAAAAGTCAGTATTACGTTTAGTCAAATATTTTCGTAAATAAAAGCGAGTAAAACATCATAGCATTTTGATGACCGAGTCTCTCATTTGTTTTTAAAATTAATTATGATTATGTTTTACGAATTTGGATTTCTAAATGATATAAGCACAATCAATCTGGGAAGAACCAGACTGGTCTCTTTAAACGTTCTAGGTATACATCAGTGTTCAGTCTTTCTAGTGCTAATAGTGATACTTAAGAATACTTAGTGAAGGAATACTTAAAACATGCATTTGTTTGTTAGGGACAACCTACAATGTAATATGAAAAAACTATCTTAGGAAAAATAATATTAGTTATCACAAAGGTACCTCTTTTTGTACCTTATTTAGTCATGACTCTCATAAATATCGCTGCAGCTATTTGCCAGTTCAGAGAACGAATATAGCTTTAAGTAGGTCCCCTTTACTTGATGAAAATAATAAAGCATTTCATCGCAGAGTTTTTCTGAATTTATTACAATAAAAGTCTTTTTATTTACAGATCTCAGAAAAAAGGCTTTGGAAGAATCTTTACAAATGTTCTGGTGGAACAGTAAATCCTATGTTCTACCAAGTTTAGAACAAAAAATCAAAGCCTTAGTTACAACTGAAAAAAACACGTTCGAAGTTTTCAAAGTATTACTGCTAGCAGTAATTTCAGGAGTATTTTACTCCTGTACAGCTGTAGTAGTCAAATACGTCGATAATTTAGATCCTGGACAACTGTGTCTTTATCGCCATGTCGCAATTTTATCTTTAAACCTTCCAGAAGTTATCAAATGTCGCCAAGCAATCTTTTTGCCTAAACATTTCCGTGTGCTACTAATAATCAGAAGTATATGTTCGGCAACGCATATATTGGTCAGTTATCATGCTTTTCGCCGCTTACCACTTGCAGAAGCGAATGTGATTTTATTCAGCATTCCTGCCTTTGTAACCGTGGCCGCGAGGATTTTCCTAAAGGAACCATGTGGAATATTCCAATCGATATCTGTGCTCTTCACTGTAATTGGCTTAATTTTTACTGCCAAAATACCCAGTTACTTTTCTGGCTCACCTATTGTTCATTCAAAAGATTACATACAGGGTCTTATATTTGCTTTCTCGGGAATCATCTTTGATACTACTCAAATAATACTCTTAAGAAAAACGAAAGAAATTCACCATGCAACAATCTTATCCAATTTAGGTATCATAGCTATCATTGAACTAGCTTCTGTTACTGCCATCTTTGGTGATTTCAAGTGGAATGTGTGCGGTTGGCAGAATCTGTACATAATTATTCTTGGAATATTTAGTTACTTAGCTCACGCAATGATGATCAGAGCTTTCCAGTGCGAATTTGCTGGACCAGTCGCTACTGTCAGGGCTGGGTCAGATATAGGATTGTCCTTTATATGGCAGACATTTTTGTTTAAAGCAATTCCAGACACTTTCAGCATCATAGGAGCTTTCTTAGTTATGGTATCCATATTTTTGGTTGGAATTAGGAACTGGGTGTCCAGTCTACCGAATAATTCTCCAAAATTGAAGCACTTAAAATGGATTTTGAAGTAAATTTTTAGAAACTTGGTGCTTAATACTTCTCTGGCTCACCTATTGTTTATTCAAAGGAATACATATGAAGTCTTATATTTGTTTTCTCTGGAATTATTTGTGATTCCATTCAAATAATACTCTTAAGAAAAACGAAAGAGGTCCATTATACAACTGTCTTACAATTTTAGCGACACAATATGATTTATTTCAAACAACGTAGACTAAAATTCAATGTTTATTTCTAGTCTCAAATCACTTGTGCGATTGTTATGAATTATATGAGATATATCTTTATAATTCTCTGTTGCTGCCATCATCAACTGCACAGTGCGAAGAAAAAATGAATACCTTGAATAACTTTTCACCTAATTATCGGGTTTTCACTTACTAGAACTCAATTTTAATGGTTTTTAAGGTGACCTACAATAAGCTAATTAGTTAGTACAAACGATATTTTAAGTTACGACAAAGACAAGTACGTACTATTTTTGAATAAACATGCCTTTTTTTCGACGGATTCGTATTCTTGACCCTCAAACTGTTGGGCGTAGCCGTAATTTAGGAAATATGGCCCTAATAGTTTAGTCAGGAGAGCGGTTGAAAGTTTGTATAACTTAATAATCATTTTATTTTTTGCGTATTTTGTCATATCTAGAATTTTCAAAGAAAAGCATAAAACCTTTGAACGGAATTATGAAATTCGTACATGCCAAGATAATTCTAAGCAAAATATAATTTTTTAGTAGTCATTAAATGTTTTTACTACTTTATTTAATAATAATCGGAAAAATTTTGAATTGAAAAGTATATAAGTTATAGATTATTTCATATGATGAAATTTTTAAAGGCAAAATAAAAATGTCAACGAAAGCTGTCAAATTGTTCTCGAAGAATCAAGTATTTAATACACGACGTTTTCGAATTTCGATTTCTTGGGATGAATTGACCGATTTTACAGAAATTTTAATTTTATCCTTTTAAATTATATTATTTAATATTATATTATTTAATATTATATTATTTAATATTATATTATTTAATAGTATATTGTTTAAAACGATATAAAAACTTATATACCTCACAATTCAAATTTTTTTCTACTATTGTTAAATAAGTAATTATTAAGTAATCAATAATTATTAAATGAACTCTTATTATAATTTTTTTTGTTGCATGGAATTATCTTCAGGTAAACGAATTATTATAATTCTGGGTAAAAGTTCTTTGATTGTTTTAAAAAACTCTCCAGATATGGCGGAACGGTTTAAAGATTCGACAGCTCTTCTGACCAAACCAATAGACTTCCTAAACTGCTGTTACCCCCTTTATTTTGAGGATCAGGAATTCAATCCATCGAAAAAATGCATTTTAAAAGAAAATACGCTTTTGAGTCTGATTTTGTAATTTGAAATACCTACTGCACTAATTCATTAGCATATTTGACGGAAATCACTTAACTTCTTCAAACTATTAAGATTGAGTTACATGAAGAATCGATTAGATGAGAAGTTATTCAAGTTATTTTTTTTTTTTTTGCGTGCTGTACGTTAAATAAAATAAAACAATGTTAATTTGCAAAGCTTATCCGTTACGTTATTGTTTTATTGAACAATTTTCTGTTACTTTCATAATTAATACTGCACTATTCTCTTTTTTATAAAAATAATATATATTTATTTGTGAGTTTTGAGTTATTATATTGTTTTAAAAAATAACGTATCGTAGTCGATATTGCATATTCTTCCATTACCATAAGAAATTGCAAGGATTCTTATTACAACGGATTCTGAAAATATTTTTTTCCTAGTGGTAGCAATGGTAATGTATTTATATTTCAATAAATAAGAATTAAAAGAGACTTTTGTCCACAACGATTTAAACAGAATTTTCATATATAAGATCATCTAGAATCTAGATGAATGTTTTAATTCTTAAGTTCTAAGAAATGTTTTTAAAACAAAAATCTTCTTTAGTTTATTACAGCTACAAAAAATGATTCGCAACAGCTTCAAATATTTGAAGTCTTACTTTAGTAATATACAACATTGTTTATTTGAACAACATTTATTTGTGACCATTTTATTAATATTTTTTTAAAATTGCTATTACTGAAGAATCTTCTTCAACCATCATCATTAGTACTGTATGACATAATTTAAATAAATAATGAATGTTTATCTGAGTGTTTAAAGTCATTATTTTTTTAACCCTTTCCCTCTTGCTCATGTCAAAATCACGGGGTGAGCTTTCCTCTCCTAATTCTCGCGCCTGTGATATTTCCGGGCTAGTGCTTTCAAAAGTAATAAACCAAAAAGGTTTAATATATCCATCTCTTGTGCCAGTATTTTTTTATTTTTTATTTTATCCACTAGAAGTCTGCACCAGACAATTTTTAATGTAACTGGAGATAGTTAGTTTATTTTAAACTAGATGTCAGCACTATCCAAATATATGATGTATTATTTGTGATATGTAATTTGTACTCTTAGCTCCACTACTTAGGCTCTTTGTGACTACTCGTGGTCTGTGTTCTGTGATAAAATATTTTTTAATATTGGATGGGACATACGGGATACGGAATGGAATTTTACGACATATGGACATATGGGACATATGGAATTTTAAATTTCAAGCTAAGAAAATTTCAAACTTCAGAAATGTATACAGTACATACACTTTTTTTAATATAATTTTCTTGAATAAAAAAGTAGGCATTTTTTGGCCGTTTTCTTGAAAATAATAAGATCAATAAGTGGTTAAGTCATGTTGTTGTTTGAGACTAAATTAATGATTCTATAGCAGTTTTCGAATGATTTTCTATTAAACTGTCATTAGTAGTGGTTTATTATAGAGCTGATGCTCGTTTTCGGCTGTTTATGGATGATAAAATTTAAATTTCAATAAACTTAGGAAATTTACAAATGATTGAAGATCAAAGTATTTTAGCTAAATTGCACCTTTACCCTAAGGGTAGCGTTATGAATCTTCATTTGCACGATATTCTATTTTATATATGTGTAAAACATTTAGGATACTATTACCATTATATGAGATTAGTGATGTTGTAAATATATTTTTACTTAGAATGATGACCCGCAGTGGACTGATCGTTAAGATTTCCCAGCAGATCACCGAAGTCAAACATCACTGGCTGCGGTCAGTGTGCGGGTAGATGACCACTTGGATCAGTCTACGTAGGGTCCGAGGGTGTGCGGTATTGGTCCTCGTTAAACTGTTCTACCTCGTTAAGTGCTCGACTTCTCATGCAGGTCGTCGGGCTACCGAAGCGGGGGTGCCATCCCCTCCGCAGAGGATCAAAATTGTGATGGCATGTCTTCGGATCATCCTCAGGGATGTTTCCCAGACCGTCGCCAATAGCCCATTGTGCAGCTCTAGTGCGACGTAAATGAACTAGAACTACAACAACTTAGAATGATAAATTAGTTACATAACAATCCGAATGAAGTCTCCAAATTTTGTTTTATAACCGGGGATGAACAGCCGATCTGATTATGAGTTTACTACTATCAATGTTCAACACCATAGCCTTGTAATTTTGAGCCCAACCCAGAGGAAAAGGAAACACCTGGATCAAGTAATGATGCAAACTAGCTTTAGTGGAGGATTTTTTTGCATTACCTTAACCCGCATTTACTTTACATGAAGAGGAAAACCACGATAATCACCATGGTCATGCCGACGGCAAAGGGATTCTAACTCATGATCAGTCTACCACTGAGGATAATTTACGTCACCGTGGTTGGTATGAGTCGGGAGCAGAATTTGTACCAACCAGCCACCTCTGGGATTCGAACCTGGGTAACCTCATGAGAGATGAACGTTCTATCCCCTGAGCCACCACGATTATGATAAATTAAATCTCAAAAAATGCTGTGCTTTTAAATATTTTTGTTATTACTATAGTCTTATCTGGGGCTTTCGAAATAATCAACGATTTGAAAAATCCTTCCTTAGAGGTGAGACAGGCTTGGATGGCTCCTGGCCTTATTCAGAATTTTAAAGCGTGTTACCCATTGCTTTTCCTGATCTTTTCATGTCCTTATTTTTAAAGTTTTTAGATATATTTTAAGACAGATCAATTACCTAAGTTTGAAACACCCTCTCAAGTTACAGTTCGTTTTCTACATGATTGAAATTAATAATATTTTTAATTTAAAATATCGTATCTTTCTCTAATTGGTATATTTCAGGTCAATCTCGCAAAACAATGATAATAAGTGAATGTGTGACGAAATCAAAAGCTATTCTGATGTAACGGTTCTTATTCTGTCAGCAAGGAGAGAGTTAAAAAAAGATACTTTGTGTCAAGAAGTTTGGTTTTCTTTTTGTAAACGTTATAAATCTTTATAGCCACGTTTAGAAATAAATTTGTGATTTTTCATCAAAACAATAAAAAGAAACTCGATGTTTTGAATGATATGTATTCACTATGAAATTTTTGACACTTTAAACAGCAGTTTGTTGGTGGTAAATGTTTAATTCTAAACATTTACCATTAAACAGGTAAATGTTTAATTCTAAACATTTCTCTAAAAAAATTTTTTAATAATAATTCCATTTACCTGAATCAATTAGTACATTTTTTTACAGAAAATATTTTTTCGAAAAAAAAACTTCAAAAGTTAACAGTTGTATTTTCAAGATTGTCCCGGGTCCTGCGAATTTATAGTAGTGGTATTAAATTTACATACAAAAAACAAGTACATAACAAGTACATAAAAATGTACATAAAAATGTACAAGTTTACATATATCAAAAAACATCATTTTATCGTTTAGTATTTAGAATGCGAAAGTATCACTTGAAATGTTATATCTGTAATACACTCAACCGACCGATTCCGAAGTCAAGGACACAAATTTACAATCCAACGGACTTTAACAACTCACTTGCTTTTTTGGAGACTGTCATCTTGACTTTCTCTAGTTCATTGCATACAAGCTGTTATTTCTTTTTAAATTTTTTACATGAACTTATTTAAAAAAAATGCCAAACTTAAGGGCTGCTGGATTGGAAAATTGCGTTCGGAACTTTGCTCCGTAATGATTATGGTTTGCATTTTAAAAAAAAGTAAAAAATTCCTCGTTCGTTATTCAATTCCGGTTGAAAATTGAAAAGATAAATTCTTTGTTACGTTTATTTTCTTGAATATTCATTTTCGGCACTGAATCAATTTTCTTAAACACGCAGTTTTAGTGCCGTTTTCATTTTCTTAAGCACGCATTTCAACCAGTATCGAGAATAAGAAAAACTTTGACGATCTTTTGCTTTTTTTTCCATTACAGATGCAGAAAAGATTTTCAATCTGATTAAAAATAAAACTTCTCAGTACAAAATTAAAAAAGCAAAATTACGTTGGATAGGAACCAAAGTGTGATTCCTCATGAGATAAATTACCGGTTTTAGTAAAATAACTTCTTACCAGGCTTAATAAAGCAAAAAAGGTTCATTTGAAAAGGTGTGTTCAGTTATTAGTTTGAGAATTTTTAATTATAAACTTACAATATAAATATTTTGACTGATCTAGTGGCCGTTGAGATGCAACTGAGACTCAGTAGCACGACAGCCCATGAAGAGCCAAAGCCTTTTGCGTCCTTCTCAGTTTTTTTTCTTCTTGGGCTACGGATCCTGGAATAGATGTTCTGGTTGGGTAGGAACCCCAAGTGTGTTTGGTACTTATTTTATCGACACACTGAAGGGAACGAAC